ATGTTAATATTTTGTCATGCAATTAAACAATCTGCTCCTAATCTTATGCCTATGAATGTATTTCACAAAATTAGACATTCAATGAAAGCAAAAATAATATTCACTTATGGAATAACCAATTATGTCCTAAACACAATTTTTAACATATTACAAATTAATTTTAGTTTGACTTAGAGGACCTGGAGATGAATAGAAGAAAATGCAAACCAAAAGTTTAAGAAAGACTAGTCTAGTTTCAGTACTCCAATATTTGAGAGATATGATGTTATATTAATGCAATTGGTAAAATTTTCTTGTGTTTAACGGTGTTGATTTTTTTTTTGTTTTGTTTGGATTGAGGCTTTAGAATTTTGGAACCGAAGGTGATAGATAGTGGTCATGGAAATAGTGGTAATGATTTGGGATGTGAAAATATAAAAGGTTTAGAATAGTAGATATGAGGGTTAGAAAGTGAGTTTGTGATGTTGTGCATGTTTCCGTTTTTTTAAAAAGAATTTTATGAGAAAAATAAAATGAACTTCACAATTTTAAGACGGCATTTTAAAATTTTGACCATTGAATAGTTTTTGTTACGAAAATAATAATTTTATGAGAGATATGTGTAATTTTTGAAACCTCAAAGGAACTAGGTGCAAATATAAAAAATCTCAAGATAGTGTTTCTGAAATTATCCATAAAAAATATAATATTAATCAAAATCCTTGCCGCCACGTAAAGTACAAATGATGGGACGTTTGTTTGTTGCAATTTCGTTTCGTGGATGGAACGACGAAGGTGATGAGATGAGCGGCGAGCCATGTACCAATTTAACCAATGAGTCAACGTCCAATCCAGTCGACACGCGGTCTTCAACATCTACTCCCTTTCTCTGAACGTATTTACAAGTTTGCCATTTGATCCTTCCTGCCGCCTTCACGTTCACGTACGGATGGCGCCCACGGTTTCATGGAAAATCCGGGGAGTCAGCACAGATTTTCTAGGCTAGCAGCTTACCTGTCTGAATTTTTCTGGTCAAATAAAATTTTTATCATAAGGTCTCAGCTGCATATTTTGGAGTGCAGCTAGTAGCACTTCATTCTTAACAATTAATCACTTTGTCAAAACAGTCTGGTAAGCACGTTTTAGTCATTTATAGTATCCGTGTACAGCTTTTCTGGATCAGTAAAATCTATATTCATTTCATAACAAAAATTATTGATTTGATGAAAACAAAATCACCAAATGTAATCAAAAATTTTTTCTATAATTTTACAGTAAGTTACAGTAAAATTTTAGACAAACACAAAAAAATCCACTTGTTAAACGGGGCCAAGTTAGTATGTGACAAAGGTTATTGAAAGTATTTGACATTTTCTTAATTAATATGGCTGGTGTTGTATCATGAAATGCACACACACGCGCGCGCGCGACAAAAGTACAGAACTTGAAACACGGACAAATTAGGTAATAAACATGATGGTACTGTAATAAAAAAATTCAATGCTTGCATTAGAAAAGACATTTTTTTGGCCCAATATGACTACTACGAAATCATAAAAATGTCAAAACCAAATGCATCATACGAATGGGTCGAAAGTCAAGGTTCAACTCGTGTCGCTCGTGGTGTCATTCAACTACTCAACATGACTTTCTCTTAGATCAAATAATAATGTGCATGTATTTATGCGATGGTGATTTAATCTCTCGAATCTTTGATGATCCAGTTGAATATGCACCTTCCATTCCATGTAGATTAATAGTACATGTACATAAATGACGAAGTCAGTTGGATCAGTGAATTAGTAGTGTTTTAAATAAAATAAGCGATGATTGATAAAAAAGGCAAAAAAAGTGAGCGGTACTAGAGCTCAATAGCAGTGCCAAGTGTTTTTTTTAAAAAAAAAAAAAAAATTTTAGAAACTACCACCATTTCTCTTATTCCGCACCGGAATACCTAATCATACATACTCACTCACTCCACGTTGAATATCGAATATTCCACATCGTAACGCGGCACTGCAGAGGAGCTTTTAAAAAATAAAAGCAGGTCTCATCTGTACCTGCCCAATTCCCGTACTTTTTACTGCTACTTTTTACCGCCACTACTGCTGCTTGGAAGTCTTGGAAGTTGGGCTGGAAATTGTGACAGGGTGCAATTTGGCCTGGATGGAACCCAACCAAATAAATAGTAATTTAATAGCACGCAGATTCGCTGGAGTTTTTATACTAACACTACAAGTACTAATATACTAGTAGCAGCTTGAGTACTAGAGTTTGACCTGGATTTGAGAATTAGTCAATTCAATTAAGTACTTCGAATACATGCATGATCAATCAAAAAAAGAACGGAGAATAACCTTTGGTTATCAAAAGACTATGGCTCCGTTTGGATTACCTGTTTTTGGGGTTGTTTTTCAAAAACAGCACTGTAGCATTTCGTTTTTGAAATACAAGTCCGTTTGGATTAGTTGTTTTTGAGATTGTTTTTCAAAAACTATATGAAAAACTTTTACTGTAGATGTTTTTGGATTATATTTTAGAGATATTTTTAAACATATTTTGGGTATTTTATAATTTATAATTTATATAATTTTATTTTACATACATTTATGCATTTATAATACATTTATAAATATTTATAAATAAATATATTTATATATTCGCTAAAAATATATAAATGTATTATATTATATATAATACATAATATAAATATATTTATAAATGTATAAATTATAAATGAATATATATAAATGTAAAATTATAAGTTATTAATTTTTATATTTTTATATAAATTACATTTATGCATTATAAATAAATATATTTATATAAAAAATATAAAAAATATATTGATAAAATTTAATTTGTATTTTATTATTTATTAATTAATAATATAAATATATTTATAATGTATAAGTGTATATTATTGTAAATTTATAAATTATAAATGAATATTATATAAATGTATAAATTATAAATTATAAATTTTTTATATTTTATATTTTTATATTTTATATATATACATTTATGCATTTATAATACATTTATAAATACTTATAAATAAATATATTTATTTATTTATATATAAATATATAAATGTATTATAAATGTATTATATTACATATAACACATAATATAAATATATTTATAAATGTATAAGTGTATATTATTGTAAATTTATAAATTATAAATGAATATTACATAAATGTATAAATTATAAATTATAAATTATATATTTTTATATAAATATAGATTTATAAATATTTATAAAAAATATATTTATTTATTTATATAAAAATATATTTATGTATTATATTACATATAATACATATTATAAATATATTTATAAATGTAAAAGTGTATATTATTATAAATGTATAAATTACAAATGAATATTATATAAATGTATAAATTATAATTTTATTAATATATATTAATTATTTATAAATGTATTAATATAATTAATATAAATGTACTAATGTATTAATATTATGTATATATGTAAAATTAATATTATGTATGTTAATGTACATTTATATAAATGTAAAATATATATCATATATTATATATTTTATATAATATATAATATTCATATAAATATATTATAAATATGTAAAAATATTTTTTAAGTAAAATAAAATATTTATAATATGTAAAAATAAATATATAAATATTTAATATATATATATATAATATACATTAATATTAATTATAAATATTATAATATTATAAATATGGTGTTTATATAATATTTCAATTTGTAATATTTATTGTATATTTCATTATATAAATATTCATATAATATATAATATATAAATATATAAATATATAATTTTCAATTTGTATAATATATATAATATTGTATGTATATAATATAATATATTATGCATAATATACATTATTACATTATTACATATTATGTTTATTATATATTATACCTAACATTATTAGACATTATTATACACAATAATGTACATAATAATATTATACATTAATAATGTATATATTATAATATAATGTACATAATATATAATGTATAAATATTTACACATTTATGTATACAATATTACATATTATGTATATTATATTATGTATATTATAATATATTATGTATAATATTAATGTATATAAATATTTATATAATATATAATATATATAATTTTCAATTTGTATATTTCAATTTATATTAATATAATATATATATATAATATACATAATTGAAATATACATATGTAGTTGTTTTTGATATAATGTTTGGATTTGGTGTTTTTGGAGTTGTTTTAGAAATACACATTTACTGTAGCATTTGGGATGTGAAAAACAATTTTTCAAAAACAGCTCCAAAAACAAGGATCCAAACACACCCTATATATGTATACAAGAACAAGAAGATCTTCAACTACTGAAACATCGTTCTCTCAAAAAACTACTAAAACATCATGACTCGTTTGTAGATGCTGTGGGGAAAAAAAAAGCAGCAGCCAGCAAGATGAGGAGGAAAATTGGAAAGAAATCCAAAGGGAAGAGAGAATATGGAGTTTGGATAGAGTATTATTTGAAATAATTACTGTAGCACTTTTTGTGATGTGATGTACGTGAGATGAAAAGGTAATTGAAAATATAAAAAGGTGGGTTGAGAAATGTGTTTATGATGCAAGCGAAATATTATTTGAGATATTTGTGTTATCCAAACACTAGATCAATGTAGGTATATTTTTTCAAAACAAGATTATTTTGAAATAAACTCAAAAAGGAGATCAATATATTTATATTTTGTCAAAATAGGATTATTTTGAAAATAAACTCAAAAAAGCATCACTGTGGGCAAAATTTTCTGGGATTGAATTTTGGAAATATATATACATATATTTTTAAAAGATTGGGAAAAAAAAACCTCGTGCTTTCGTAGTTATTAATCTATAAACTGATAAATTCTAGTTTCGGTCCGGTCTACACGTTTGCGCTGTGCGGTTTGCCAATAAATGACCGAGTATCTTTAGCTTCAGGAGTGCTACTTGATGATTACTAATTCTAGCATTTCCTCTCGCCTTCCTACCACCACTAACTACTAAGTACTAAGCCCACCTCCACTCTGCTGCAGCATCATATATACTGCATCAACAGCTCCCTGATTCTTTGTTTCTTTCTTCTAGCTGCATCGAAGTCCAAAGTCAAGGGGTCGCTCTCTTTCGATTGCTTCTTGAAACACACAACCCCCATAAAAATAAAAAGCCAAAAGGAAAACAGAAGCGTAAAGCATTGGCCTTTCATCAATCTTAGATACATATCACAAGAACCGTACGACTTGAAGCCTCTCAAAGGTACAGAATGGTTTCTTTATCATTGTGATTGCTCCTTCTTGTATCATATCATATCCAAAAGAGATCCTTTTGCTTATTCTTTGCATGCGTTTGACTCTATTGAGAGTTTAAGCATTCGTCTTATTCATTATCTGGGTTGATGATTGATCTCATGAAATTCAGTCTAAAGATGTGGATTTTTTTCCTTCTTTTTTTGGTGTTTTTGGTTTTGGGTTTTGTTTGCTTCTGTTGATTTGTCTTTTCTACTTGCTCGTATTGGTCAGTGAATGAAGACCTAACTACTGTGAAGTCTTGGTTCTTCATTTTGTTTCTATAAAGGCTATAAAATTCTTCTCCTTGTTGTTATTACCAAGCACGGCCTCCCATTTTTTGCAGGTAAAATAGAGTTCTGTGTTTGACTTTGGATCCATCTTGCCCTATTTCCTTCCTTGCTTTCATTCCTGAATCTTTTTCTCATTTCTTTTATGTCAAAATTATGTTCTTCCAACTTTTGAATTCGGACTGAATTTATGGGATTTCTCACAGGTTTGATCTTGATTTCTATCTTAGAATGCTCCGAAGAGTACAAAGCGAAAGGGTTGTTGGTTCTTGCGGGGTTTCTTCTCTGTAAATTGGTTAATTGCATGTCCTAAAGGTACTTTATTTTCCTTTCATGAATTTTTGGTTTCCAATTTTCCGCTTGTATCTTATTTTTACTATCAAAATGGATTACTTGTTTCCTTTTTCTTATTACTTCCTGGAAAATACTAGCCTTTTGTGAGTAGATCGGTAGTAATCCAAATTAGGATTATTGAGGGCTGACTGGAAGGTTAACAGGATGGAATGGAAATCGGTTGGTTGGTGAGGAGTCTCAGCTTTTTGAGGAAAAGGAGAAAGGAGAACTTTTGGACGTCATATGCCTACTTTTTTGGAAGATTCCTACTCATTTTCATCAAAGCATCTTAATAAAGAAGGCCTTGGGAATTTCTAATGGCAAAGAGAAATTATAAGGCATCTAGAATGATTGAACTCCGAGCCACTAAATTGCTGGCTGTTTGCGGATTTCTAGTTCATTGACCTCATTGCTGATCTCAAGTTTAATGAGCTTGTCAAATACTATTTGAATTTCCCCTGCTTTAAGAGCCTGTGATCAGTTCTGCGTATCTTAGTTTGATAGTTCACAAAAGTTTTTCAAGATGTTCTAAGAGTGATTTTTATCTCGGTTTGGTGATAATGCTACTCTGTTATAGGGAATTGTTTCTCAAATTTGAAGTAGTAATCATCCTTGTTTGGTCGTTTGTCATAGAATCCTATATTTCTTGCGCCAGTAGATAAGTCAACCACATATTCCACTTTGGGATGTGATGCTTCTACATCAAACATATCGAGTTGCCTAATAAGGTGCATAGTGGAATTTTGACTACTTCACCTTTCGAAGTTAAAGTTGAGTTAGAAGCATTTTTTCAAATTGAATTTCTTTAGGAGTCTGAGCTTAGTTGGAGTTGGGTGAATTGCAATATGTTCCCCTTGAAACTTGTTATCTTATGGTGTGCCTTTGAGAAGATAATGGGAAATTCATGTTACCTGCAAGAGCGGCAATCATAAGACATCTGTAATGGGCATGGTAGTATCAGCTGAATTGTCAAACTCTTTATTTGTCCTTTCATCTCTTTCTCTGATATAGCAGAACAGCCGCAAATGTCACCGGAGATAAACAAAAAGGCCCTCTTTTGTTTCTTCGGATGATTAGACAAGGGGCATTTGTAATGTACCTTGCATTTATATCTTCATCTTCAAATGGTAGAAAGTCAAATCTGATAAACGAACAAGTGCTTGTTTAAAACCAAAAATACAGGTTGGTAAAACTGGTTACAGTATTGGCTGCGTTTTATGGGGCTTATGCTAAGTGGTCTTATTAGCTTTCAGTTTATTGTGGAAATACTTTCTATGAGAGTTATTTGCCTTATGAGGCTGAAGTTCTTACTGTTGTTTCTTGCAAGCTGAAGGTGGATTATCCCAGCAGGCATTTTATCTCCTTGTAAGAGAGACAAATGTATTCCCTTTCTTGTGGTTAGGATGAAATGAATGCTGAGTTAGAATGACAGATGAGGTCATTCAGGAGACTGGAGGGAACATTTGATTTGTTATTTGCATCATATGTAACATCTTATATTTACTAAGATTTAATAGCTTGCTGTTTTCTTTGTTTGCCAAGTCTTGATTGTGACTTTTGTTGAGCAAGTTGTTTGACAAATTGGTCGCTTTTCTTTTTCAATAGGTTACCTTTGCCTGTGATTACCCTACCTTGACTTGTCATAGCTGAGCCAATTCATTCACTTACTCTCAGATGCAAGCATCCAGGCTTCTCAGACTTCAGAAGCCATCCACATGTTGTACCATCAACCCTTTCAGCAGATCGAGTCATATAACTTGTCCCCTTTCCAGGTATTGAACAGCAATGTCTGTGCTGATAATAGCAGCCAAGGGGCCCAGGTGTCATTTCAAGCTTGCAACGAACAATTTGCCACCTTGGAATCCTTACCAATGACTGATTATGTTAACAGCGATTCACCTTCTACTGTGAGCGTCTCATCTAATAGAAGTCCTTTCTCACCACAATGTTCGCAGTCCTATATGTCAGATGTCCATCACTCTTCTGATAATACTTATGGTTCACCATTAAGTGGGTCCTCTGGTGTTGATGATAGCAATGAATTGAGGAATGTGCTGAGAGAATTGGAGATCAAATTAATGGAAGAGTCTGAAATTGATGACAGCAGCTCTTGCTCCGTCAACAATGTAGTGGGTCAACCTGTTTTCAACAAGGGAGCCGAGTGGTGCAAATGGCCCATACCATGGACTTGAAACAATTACTTCTTGCCTGTGCTGAAGCAGTATCAAATGCTGAGATTTCCACTGCACAAGGTTTGATGAATGAGTTAGAACAGAGGGTTTCAATCTCTGGGGATCCTATTCAGCGATTAAGTGCATATATGATGGAAGGGCTTAGAGCACGGTTGTTGTCCTCAGGAAGCATAATATACAAAAAACTGAAATGCAAAGAACCAACAGGTCCAGAATTAATGTCATATATGCATTTTCTCTATCAAATCTGCCCATACTTCAAGTTTGCCTACATGTCTGCCAATGTTGTGATTGGTGAAGCTATGGAACATGAAAACAGAATACACGTCATTGATTTTTGTCTTGCTCAGGGAAGCCAGTGGGTTTCTTTTATTCAGGCGCTTGCACATCGTCCTGGTGGACCTCCATTCATTCGTGTGACAGGTGTTGATGACTCCCAGTCTGTTCATGCCCGAGGCGGAGGACTTGATGTTGTGGGTCAGAGGTTAGCCAACGTTGCGGCATCTTGTGGGGTGCCATTTGAATTCCATGGTGCGGCTCTCTCAGGATGTGAGGTAGAGCTGGAAAATCTCAAGGTTCAACATGGAGAAGCTCTGGCTGTTAATTTTCCTTACATGCTGCACCACATGCCTGACGAGAGTGTAAACACAATGAATCATCGAGACCGCTTACTGAGACTAATAAAGAGCTTGTCACCCAAGGTAGTTACTCTTGTTGAGCAGGAGTCAAACACGAATACAGCCCCATTCTATCATCGGTTCTGTGAAACGCTGGAGTACTACACAGCTATGTTTGAGTCGATAGATGCTACCCGCCCAAGGAATGATAAACAGCGGATAAGCGCGGAGGAGCATTGCATTGCAAGGGACATTGTCAACATTGTAGCATGTGAAGGAGCTGACCGGGTAGAAAGGCACGAACTTTTTGGTAAGTGGAGGTTGAGACTTGCGATGGCCGGATTTGTGCCTTGCCCTTTGAGTTTCTCAGTAGGCAATGCCATCAGGGACATGTTGAAGGAGTACAGCTCCAATTACTGGCTTGTTGACAGGGATGGTGCACTCTATCTTGGATGGAAGAACAGAGCCCTCGCAACTTGTTCCGCTTGGAGATAGATCTCACCAGCAATTGCTGCGTGAAATGTATAAAAATTTTGCCTATCAATTCGTGCCACTTTGTACTGCCATTGTTGCTGTCACTTGTACTTATTCTCTAGCTAAGACTAGCTATATTTCTTTAGGACCTTCCTCTTGAGAGTCGACGACTACTTTGTACATGTAAACTAGCCAGCATAGGGATTAAAACTTGAAATTGTGAGCTCAGAACCTACACTTCTTGGTAAAGGAAGAGACGTTAGTGTTTCTTTTAACTGCTTCGGGCGTGCGTTAGTCCTAATAGTTAGGTTGTTTGACCAGGCATAATCTCTGTTAGCCATTTATTTTCTTCTTTTTTTTCCCCCTTTTTTCAGACTTTGGCAGTTTGCGAATTACCGAGGATTAGGCCCAATTTTATCTTGTTCGTCACATGTTGCCATGGATTTTGAAAAAATCTCTCATGTATGAGAAATCCAATCACTTCTCCCCTTCCCCCCCCCCGGGCGCCCAAGATTTGCTTCTTCAATACTTGAATCTTAGGAGTTATTCTCATATCGAAATAGAAGTTTGAATCTAAGTCTAATACAAACTCATATTGACGTTCACAGGGGTTGTTTGGATTGCAGTTTTTTAGAAAAGGGTTTTTCACATTTTTTATAAACACATTTTTCAATCATTTTTTTACCTAATATATATCAAATTGCTATAATACATTTTTCTTCAAAAATTTCAAAATATAGCAACCCAAATGGGAATGTCATGAAAACGTTTCCAATTATCAAATTTTTTTCCTTAAAAACAAAATTTCAATCATATACAAGTTTTATGAGTTTTGTCAGTTGCCACTGCCACGCCATCTGGGGACATAAAATTTATTTAGGATGGAACATGAAAAAATCCATCTTTGGGGATTCCATTAAATTTTATGGCACGAAATGGAGGAAATATGATGAACCATTTTAAGTCAAAAAGAGCACCGGTGTCACCTGCGCTTATTCTGTTTGACCTTCCCTGAAACCAGACGGCTAAATTGCTTCGAGTCCCAAGAAAATGGACAGAATTGATGACATGAATTAATAAGATACCATATTTGGTAAATCCCCTCGAATTTGCTCCATGATAGTGCGAGGTGCCAAACAAGAACTAATGGTCTGTTTGTTCAAATGAACCCCCTTTTCCCAAATACAAGCAGCCTGGCCAATTAGAAAATTGAGCTTGGGGCAGCACCGGGACAGTTGCGTCGCTGGATCAATCTAACATTCTGGCTTCTCTGCCACCAGACATTAATAATGCCCCAAGGTCAAGGTGAAGGGTCCATTCCAAGAAAAAACCATACTTAGGATAGTCATATCAGCCATCAGCATCATTTCATTCCAGTCTGACACCGCTCGCTGATTTGTCTCCCTGTGAAACCTCGTACCAACCCTCTATTAGGTATGTCACACATTAGCGCGTTTATTCATTTTTGCTTTTTTCTTCTTGTTTTTTTTTTTTTTTTTTAATTCATATCTTCCAAATTTTAGAAGATGGCTATTGAAGGTTATCCATATTCAGTAAAATGTCGCGGCCTAACCTGCATATCTAGTCTAGTATCCACACGCGGGTTTTGCATATCTGTTTATATATTTGAGGGCCGCCAGCAAAGCTGATATGGCTTTTCCCCCAAAATTCACGAAATTTTCTGGCTCGAAAATGAAGATGAACTTTTGGTTTTCTCTGGCTTTTGCCTGTTTTCTGATTTTACCAATGTGATTCTTTGTATAAGTTGTTTCAATTGTAATTATAGCTTCCAAGGAATAAGGCTGAAAATTGGTGCAACGCTATACATATGGTGTGTAATGAAATTCAAGTAGATATACATGTGCCAGTGTATTCTTCCTACCCTGAAAAGCAATTTTTTTTTAAAAGGGTTTTTTTTTTTCAGGCAAAAGATTGTGTGACTGTGTGTGTTGTTTATGAGTGGGCGTGGATGATAATGCAGGACTAAAAATAGTGCCTGAGTGTGCGTTTCTATTCGCCAATGTCAGTCGGGCTGTTTTTTGTTCTTTTCTACAGATCAGCCTGATACATCAAATTCAAGAAAAATTGATATTCTTGTCCAAATTATTTCGTATATTGAACTATTGTATTTTTTCAGTGTTATTCCGCAGCACAATGCCTTTAAAGCTCTGAGGGAACAGAAAAGTTCCTTTTAGTTTTGCAGGTGAGGCCTGACCCTCTTGAATATTTCATGACAGATTATGATATCTTTTTGTATGGAGCATTACAAAAATTATAGAATTGGGAAACCTCATCTACAATATTTGCTACTGAAAGCAGTAAGTTTATGCTTGCAGATTATCAAAAACGTGATAAGCTGATGGAGGGATAGTTGCAGGATATTGTAAGAACGTTAAGGTGAACTTTTGGATGAGTTGACCTTCAAGAAGCCGTTCAAATTATGGCGACTGACGAGTCACAAGAGTATGCAGACTGGCGTGCTAGACAAAAAGAACGAGAGAGGGAACGTCGCCGAATGCGAGACAGACAAAGGAGGCAGTCTATGAGTCTTGAAGAGAGGGAGAGACACTTGGCTAGACGGCGTAGAAACTATCAGTTGCGAAGACAAAGAGCAGCCAACGCTCAATTGGGCTTTCAGCAAACACATGTTAACTTGAGCAATGCGAGCAGTGAAGTCGAATCGGACGTGCAAAATGATAATCTTGCCCTGGTTTCCCTTCCAGAATTTACTGTCCAATCTAATTGTGGAACATTTGAAGATGGATTTGGTGGAGCATATGAAAAGCATGCTTCTGTCATCAAGTTTGATGGTAAATGTTCTTTTACTTGTTGCGTCTAAACATACATGTATGACAAGTTAAAGGGGTAAAAAGCAGACTGTTAGTAAATCAGCATATGATAAATGTTTATTCTCTGTATCTTTCTGTAGTGGCGCATCACATAGTTATGCTACTTGCTTGTGAATCCAATAGGTGAAACAACTCTAAATGAATCATACAAGTATCCAAGAATTCTGCGCTTAAATCAAATAAAACAACTCGCGCGAAGACTGAATTCTCCTGTAGATAAAACTGGCAGACAGAGACAGTCGACAAATTGGAGCAGCTGTGATAAACGAGGAAATAGTAAATCCACATTGTAAGTGCAGGATCAAACTTTTTTAGCATTTTTTTGACCTGCCATTCCATGTCAGGATAAGTATAGTTTAATGTACAAAGATCAAGGCCTGAACGTGTTTTTTCACGGTTTATGGACTAGTTTATGTTTGTCGTCCAGGTGTTACTGGAAGAAAGATACGGTTGATTCATGTTAAACATCTTGCACGAGCTCTACATTCCAATGTGGGAAAAACTCTTCAGCAAAACTAATTTTATGCAGAACGCAAGGTATTGTTGTTAAATAGATTTTCTGTTGCACTGACAAAGCTTCCCAAAACTTTTTGCAATATTTTTACTGACTCACTCACTGCATTGAAATTTCTTCCCAGGACAAGACAATGTCATAGAAATGGAGATTGATGAGATGACAGCAGGTACTACATTTTGGAATGGGCATTATTCAAAGGATTCCATTTAAAGGGAATATTAGATTTTAAAATTACGTACCGTGCATGCAACTTTTAGCTTAGACTTGTTTCAGCAAAAACTGATGTAATCACTGATGAGGCATCCTTCTTGGATATCAAAGGAGTCCTGTCATATTGACAACTTACACAATAAACTTCTGAATGTGCCTCCATTTTGCTCATACTTGGTTACTGCAATCCAACCTCAAAATCAGAGATTTGTTTGGTTGAATTCGATGCTTGTACATTTATATAGCATGCAGAACAATGACATAGGATATTGACACGGGGACTTTTCTGGACTCAATTTCTGGACTGTAATATTTCCAATTTTTGTTCATTCATCTGCTGTTGCCCTCTCCCTTGCCAACAGTCTATTCAGATTGTTTATTTTAGTGATGGTGTTGTATGTTAGAACCTCTGGGGCAAGCAAAGAGAGAAGTGATAGATCAAACCCCCGTCTTCCTAATTAATTTCAAGGGAAGATGCTACGGTAGAATTAAGTAGTGATAGAGCAAAGTCTTGTGGCCACTGGGGATCCAACTTGTAAAAACGAGCTTGTGAAATTTTCTTTTGGCTTTGAGGGTGCTCACCTCGGCCACCCCGCATGTCCGAGGCGAACTCACCTCGTCCCTCATCAGAGCTCATCCGTGTCTTGGGCATACCCCCTAAGCTCGGCCACATCCCCAGTCTACCGTGTAGGTGACCTCGGCAACTCCACCTCAGCTGCACGATGATGATGCCAAGACACCTGACATCACCCGGGATCAGTGCTTTATCTGAAAAGCACTGTCGCACTTAATGACTACTGCAAAGGACTCCTCGTCACCCTGTCCAGGCGGCTACAGTGTCAGGGTCAGGCCATCTGACAGGGAGCAGAGCCGTAATGGCAGGGCATGGGTCCCACCGGCATAAGACCTCCGTCCTGCCATCCACTCTCACTCCATAAATACCCCACACACTCCCAACAAGTAAGCGGACTTTTCATTCTCATATACAATTATCTTTCTCGTTCTCATACTAACTTAATCGTCGGAGTGATACCAGGGGAGAAGCCCCGCCATCCACTTCGGACAGGCAAAGGTACACCACCTCATCCCAAAGAGGACTGATTTAGGTCGGTCTATCTGCCCACCAAAAATCACCTCTTCAGGCTTCTCCAGACATTTTCATTACTAGATTTTAACATTGTCCATAAGACTAAATCCAAGGGACCCTGCTATAGATTTGAGCCTTCTTGCTCTAAATTTGAGTGCTTAACCAGCAGTGCACAAATGACGAAATGAAAAAAGATGTCGCGTAGCTGAGAAGAATTTCAAGTCATAATTAATACATAACAATTACTTATTTGGTTTTATCCTTTCTTGATAACAGTTTGTTCCTTTTTTTTTTTTTTAATGAATTCGAGCAATCTTGTTTAGGCTAGGAATGTTAAATGTTGGAAGAGCAGAGATTAAAAAAACATTTTCATCGTACTTTTTACATGTGCCAGATTCTAGGTAACCGTGCACAATGGCTGGGATGTTTGGTGGTTCTCTCCCGCATCGGATAGAAGGTGTTTGCTTTGACCAATCATGGAGGATTTAAGCCGAAGCCGAAATTCCGATCCCAACACATACTAGCTAGCAGAGGAGATTCAAATTTTTTTTTTTTTCTCATGAATCAGCCAATAAACAACCAGTGGAAATTGGCAATATCTGCCAAATTCCG